GAACCGAACGGTTCGGACGGTTTTCATAAACCCTTCCATCCCTATTCAGGATGATATGCAGTATTAGTTTTCCTCCAGAATCAAAAGGATATATATGGATAGTTAATATTTGGTCCTAGAGTGCAGTGCTAAGCAGAGCTGTATTACTCATTTTTATGGGGTGTCTGAAGAAATAGTCAAGCTAGAGTTTACTTAAGATCATTATTCATGAAAAAAGATATATACATTTTTCAAACACCTTAAAATTATGCAACCCTTTTCTGTTGGTCTATTAGGAATTAAAAGACCAAAAAAAAAGTGTTAACCCTTCAAAAAATCCAGTGTATCAGATGTGTTTTACATCCTACCTGCTGGTTAAAACGCTCTCCCAGGGGTTCTGAACAACCTGGCCATGCTGGGTTCGAGCCTGAGAGCGGTGCAGGGGTAAGGTAGCTCCGACGTGGTTCCGGCCTGGCCAGAATAAAGAGGCGCCCAGCGACTGGTGGACAGAGGGACAATCAGGTATGCCCTGTCCGGTGTAGCTGAAAATGGTTGGACTGTAGAAAGGGATGGAGGTGAAGTCCTGGCCCAGGTCGGTGTATGGGGCCGGGATGCAGATGGGCTGGCAGGCTTCAGGGTTCAGACCAGGAGACAGGATGCGACTGCCGACTCGACTGGAATCCACCTCTTGGAGCTGCAGGAGGGGCTGATGCTTCTCTGGAGAGGTGGCGGCGGCCATCGCAGCAACAGAAGCTTTCAATAATCCCGAGAAGTGCTACATCGTTAGCAAGAATCGATTGATCAACTTTTATTTTAGGGAACTCCTGAGGCCGGTAGAACCTCAGATCAACATGTCAGTGTTAGGAAGGGTCTTCCAGGCTTTAAGGGACGTTAAGAGAAATCCACACCAGAAACGGTCTAGTCTTCAATCAGAGAAGTTGAGACATTCAAAGCTAAACCCAGTTGCAGCCAGAGGTCCTGTTTTGTGGAAAACCACAACATGATTCTCAATTGGAGAGTTGTGCGTTGAGAGTTTTTCACCCTGAAGTAGAAGACATAAAAGCAAAGTATGAGGTAAAAAATAAGNGAAGACATAAAAGCAAAGTATGAGGTAAAAAATAAGCTCAGGGAATTCAATGTTTGGTTACATTCTGTTTAAACCAAATCAGCTGTAGAAAATCTTTAACAGATCATGAAAAAGAAGCAGCTTAAATGAGAAAGCAGAGAAAAAGAAGTTTGTTTTCATTTTTTAAGATCAACTCAATTACAAACAGCTGCACAAAAAAAACTACTAGTAGAATAACCGTAAATATCTAGTACTGTCAAATATCAAATATACTATAAAAGAATATTTGCATAAGTTTATCTGCATTTCCTCCTGATTGTTATATATATATTATATCAGCATTAATCACACATAATTTTACTACTCGAAAAAGTTTGTTCGGCTGATATTAATTAAACAGAGACCAGAATTAAAAACAAAAGAAATGAGAATAATTGACCCATTTCTTATTAACCAATAGCGACGCAAACTTTAAACAGATGTGTTTCTATCGACTTACATAGGAGATTCTAGATGCAGGCGGATATATTGCGATACTTTCTTGGTTGTTGATATCAGATCGAATTTCCAATACAGGATCAGGGAAACCATTAAAAAAAAAATCATTCCTTATGGAGCATTAAAAAAAATATATATATATAAAAATATACTATAAAAGAATATTTGCATAAGTTTATCTGCATTTCCTCCTGATTGTTCTAAAGAAGGCAAGTTATAGACAGTTCTGGTATCTCATATATAAAATATTATGTTAAATCCATAAATCAAAAAGTGTAAAAAATGGGCTAAAAACAATATGTGCTAAACATGGGCCAAAATATTCCTGTCTGATTAATGATTTATTAAAACTCAGTTTGTGATTTGTTAAATCTTCAGTTGTCAAAACAGAGACTAAAAGTTTTGATAAAAACTTTTCCAGATTAAAGGAAAATTCCTTGATTTAATTTTTTTTTTTTTATAAGCTCCAGCAATCGTTAAAAACAAATTGTGTTGCCCCAGTTTGATTAGAGGCTCTACTCTAATGAAATCACCTCATATATGTATAGCATATATGTGTTTTGTTTTTTTTTGTTTTTTTATAATGCAGCTGATCAGCATGTCTACGTCTCATTATCCTTTATTTTTATTTATAAATCCTGTAAAAAAAAAAAATGACA